TCAATATTATGAAATGATGCTCTAGTTTATTTTGATTCAACACATGTCTCATATTTATGATTTGTATCAATGTTGAATTTAGGAAACAATTCTAAATTTATTAATTTACATAAAGTGTCAAAATTAACATGTTCTGATATACCATGTCATACATTAGACGACTTAAGCATATAAACAGAAGATGTGTTTTTAATCATACATCCCACTCTTGGTGATGTCTTCTTATCATTTTAAAGAGTCATCGCTCATATATCCATTGCATGCATAAATTACATTGTTGGTAAGTACAAATTTATCAGGCTCAAAAACCAATCTAAAATCATTCTTACTCAACAATGGTTCAGACACAAGATTTTTTTGTATTTCTGGAACATAAAACATTATTAAAAGTAAGTTTTTTTCTAAAAATCATCTTCAATGTATTAGTTCTTTTGCTTTCAACTTTGAAAGTAGAAGAATTTCTCATGAACAGTTGTTCTCCATGATTAATAGTTTCATATAAAGAGAACATCTTCTTAGCTGATGATGTGTCTAGTGGCTCCAATTTCCACCCGCCATTCCTTGGGATTTCCCACTAAGTTCACTTCAGATACTACGGCAAAAAAACTCATGTTAGAACACATTTTCATAAAGTTTTTTTTTTACTTTGGTTCTATTGACTTGGACAGTCTTCTTCTTATGGTTCTCTTATGTTTTACGGCTTCGGCAATTTTTATCACAATACCACGATTTGTTGAACACAAAACAGTTTTCTTTGAACCTTTCGAAATTACCACCTTTTGCCCCTTGCTGGCCGACATGCTTCTTTTTTTGTTGTTGGTTTTTTGCCCCTCTTTAATCGCATGTACTTTTGACTCTATGAAATGACTATCAATTTTATTTTCGGATACTCTATTGTCCTCATCAATCCTCAATCGCACAATCAAGTATTCAAGTTTTATTTCTTTACATTTGTGCTTTAAATAATTTATTAAGTCCTTCTAATATGGCACAATAATTTTTCAATAATTGCAACCACTTGGAAAGATTCACTAAGCACCATCCCCTCGACATGAATCTCATGTAGGATCACTTGAAAATCTTGAACTTGACTTATAATAATCTTAGAATCCACCATTTTATAGTCAAGGAATCTTTTCACAATGATTTTTTTTTCTGTCATCCTCCGTTTTGTACTTTTTATCCAAAAATTCACATAGCTCTCTAGCCATCTTGATTGGAATGTATACATTATATATTGTGTTACCCAATCTATTGAGGATACAGTTCTTGCACAAAAATTTAGCGTGCTTCCATGCATCTACCGTTGTAGCAACTTGACAGTCAATTTCATTCTCACTAGAAACAGGAGCATCCTTACGAATAAATCTTGCTAGATTCAATGCAGAAAGATAGAATAGCATTTTCTATTGTCATCTCTTGAAATCATTCCCATTAAATTTTTTAGGCTTCTCTCCATGAGTCATATAAGTAAATACAGAAATAGGCACCACAGGAGGAGGAGGAGGAGGAGTAGAGACATTATTCTCATTTGAAGCTTTTTTCTGATAAACAAAATTACCAAATATTTAAAAATAGGAAAAACATACAAATCACATTATTTAAATAGAGACAATTTATATTACTATTTAATGTTACTGTTTTATGTCACTGTTTCAATGCTATTGTCTGGTGTTACTATTTGACATTACTGTTTGTTGTCACTGTTTCAATTAAACATATAAACAGAACATATAACTTTTTACAAAATGTTTTCAAGAATTACCAAAATACTACATATTGTAAAAAATAAGTTTTAACAACTTACAATATTTTAAACCAGTTTAAAATACTATTAACATGAATCAGAAACACTACAAATAATTATAAGAATCAAAAGTCTATCTTAAGATTGTTGTGTGTATTTCCCAAATATAAAAAAATCACTTATTGAAATCTATGATGTGTCATGCAATTTAGAATAAAATAGTAACAATCAAGAACGAAATAGTAATATATAAATATGTAATTAAATAATATATAAACTAACCCGTTTATAGATTAGGAACTGTGATTGAATTTTATGTAGATTAAGACTAGTGTTTGATATTATATCCTTAAGACAGATTTTGCCCCCACTCTTGATACTTATGTTAATCAAAACATTTGTCTCTCAAGATGCAATGATTTTCATGCACTTGGAAGTAGTATTCCAAAATGCTCAACGAACCAAAATTGCGTGTTGTAATCTTAGAAAATGAAAAGTGCTTAACGACGAAATTATTAATGCTACCAACTGCCTTATTTGGTAATGTAACTAAAGCAGAATGGTAATGAGTCTAGGTTATTTATAGATATAATGGTGATTGACCCGAACAGTCACCATGCAAACAGATGCAATCTAGAAGACACATGTAGTCCAAAAGACACCATTGAATAACTGTTTATTCATGAACAAATACAAACTCAAAATTCAAACCAGAGCAAATTTTAAATCCAACAGGCACCGAAAATTAAATTATGGGGTAAGAAATTCGTACACAATTTGTTAAACAAATTTTATCCAAAATATAAAGTTGGGCCACACCCACACTCAAGCCTGGCCCAATCGGGTTGTGGCGGGAGGTGCGCGTGTGGTCAAATTGAAGCCCACGGAGGTGCTTACTCTGCTCACAAAAGTGTAGTACCCATTGAGGTCCAACTCATATAGCAAACCCAACATATATACGCACAAGTAGAATTTATTTTTCAACTAATATGAAATTGGTTTCAAATCTCACATTGCACAATCTCTATTTCCAAAAATCAGATGGATCACTTTAAAATCTATTTTCTCATTCATTTCTTATTCGATTTGAACAATTGAATATACTACATTATTCCCCTCACTAAGTAAAACACGAACCCACAAATATTTAATCGAAACGAGTGAGCGGGTTCCATTTTAATTTAGGCTTCCTCTTAAATAATTGTAATTTTTCCTTTCAAAATTGTAATTTTGCTATAAAAGTGGTAACCGGTGGTACAGTATCAAAATTTTATTTTTGGATACCGTACACTTTAAAAGGGCCGAAAGCAGCTAACAACTTTTGAGTTTTTTATTTTGCAGTAAGCGCAGTCAACTCTTAATAGCTGCTTATTATTCTTTATAAGTTCGAATATTTATTGACAGTCATTAAGATCATGTGATATAAATAAGAATGAAATCTATTTCACTCCCTCATAGTGTGGTTTTAGAGCACTTTCTCCTCTGCAATCGATATATATTTACATAACTCCATGTGATTTTGGGTTGAAGTGATAGATTTAGAAAGTTCATCCAAATTAATAGAAATTATGACACATTTACCGAATTCACGGGTTGACATGTCAAAATTTTGACCCTTCCCAACTCCCTAACAACCTCGCAACCCATTCTCTCCCTCTTACATGACCAAAATTCGCCATAGAACTATTGGAAATGTTAATGGCCTTGGACTATTAATTTAAATAAAATTAGCTTGTTAATGTACATGGGGTAACAATGACTATGATTGTGTAAGTTTTTCAAAATTCTAATTTTCAACCAAATTGGGATTATGTGGTTATATCTGAATCATAGGGGAGGCAAAGTGTTGCATGGAAAAACCATAAGGTGTAGATGCAATTACCACTTTACCTCCCCTATGCATTTCATAGGGGAGGCAAAGTGTTGCATGGACAAACCATAAGGTGTAGATGCATTTCATCCTATAAATAATTCCACGCGCTGTCTTTTAATATAAAAAATTCCCAACTTGTCTCCGCATCTAGAAGGAATTGGGTCAGAAAACCACGGAAAAAATAACTAAATGTTCAAGATTAGACTGCTCTGACGAATGGAAACTCAAACGGTTGACTGGACCATCACCAATTTGTGCTAATCTTTCCCACCTAAAAATTATTCCCAAAATGCTCCATAAAAGCTCAAGACCCTCCTAAGCAACTCCATCGTTCTCAGTTTCTCTTTTCCTTTTACATTTCCATCCAAGTTAAGAAAGAAGAGAGTTGTTGCTAAAAAAATATGGAACACCAGGATTTAATGGAGAAGCTTTCTAAATCTGTAGACATGGGAACTAGAGAAGAGAGATGGTCCCTTCAGGGAAAGACTGCTCTTGTCACCGGTGGTACAAGAGGCATTGGGTTGGTATCTCTTGCATTTTTCTCACATGTAGTCTGTTTTGATATTAGATTGATTCTTTGTTCTAATTGGTTATTTGGGTTTTTTTTTTTGGTATGAATTTTAGGTGTGCAATTGTGGAGGAACTAGCTGGGTTTGGTGCTGCTGTACATACATGTTCAAGGAATGAAACAGAGCTCAATGAAAAGCTAAAAGAATGGGCAGTCAAAGGGTTCAAAGTAACCGGTTCAGTATGCGATTTGTCGTCAAAACTATCAAGAGAAGAGCTAATGAAGACTACCTCTTCTGTTTTTGATGGCAAACTCAACATCCTCGTAAGTTATTGCCTCATATTCTAAATAACATTTAGTTGCCCTTTCTAAAATTGTAATCGACATACCGCCTAGGAAGAATATCTCTTTCATATTCAATAGTTTAATGAAGTTTCTAAACTTGCACGTGGTGTTGTGTTCCTTAGGTAAACAATGCTGCTACAAGTGTACTTAAACGAGCTATAGACTACACCGCAGAAGAATTTGAACGTATAATGGAAACCAATGTCGCTTCCCCATACCATTTGTGTCAACTCGCACACCCATTCCTTAAAGCATCCGGAAATGGAAGCATCGTGTTCATTTCCTCTGTTTCTGGTGTGATGGCCTTGCCTGCTCAAACTGTCTACGGAGCATCTAAAGGTTAGCTATCTGTAACTGGGCAAAAGATTGAATTTCTTATTTTCTTTGCCCGACTAATTTGAATTTTTAATGACTCATTTTTTTTTCCAGCTGCAATCAATCAAATAACGCAAAATTTGGCTTGTGAATGGGCAAAGGACAACATTCGCACCAATACAGTTGCACCATGGGGTGTCAGAACCACCGTTATGAAACCTGTATGATTTCTCTCTCTGTCTCTCCCAAACTCATTTTCCTAGCTCACGCCCTGAGTATTTCGTGTATTAGTTTTTTGGTCTTCCCCAAAAAAGAATTTATATTCACGGTTTGAATTTTTTCACTATCTGTAGGAGGAGATGGATCCATCCATAATGATGATGTACATGCCACTAATGGCTCGAACTCCTCTTCGCCCCATAGCAGAGCCCCAAGAAATTTCAGGACTTGTGACATTCCTTTGCCTTCCTGCTGCTTCATACATTACAGGGCAGGTCATTGTTGTTGATGGTGCTTACACAGCAGGTGGTTTCTAAGCAACTCACATTTTGAGGTGTGAAAATAAGCTTCAAGTGTTGAAGCGGAGAGATCACCAAACGTTAATGTGCTATGTTTTTCGGTATCGATTGAGTCAGAAAATCTTCATGTATTTTGTTGCTATGTTTGGTCTCTTTTTTTTTTCTCCCTTCCTTTGTTTGGCCTTGTATTTTCTGTTAGTCCCCTTTATAATGTAGTTTCTTTGTTGAATTCGGATTAATAAACTTTAGTGAATTTGCATAAGAAAATATCTTTATGTATATTTGATTCTTTTTAAGAGTGTTTGGATCATATTCTACAATTTTATGAATGAATGCTACATGTCATAAGTGAATCAGAAAATAATTTGTTCCTTGACAAGCTTAACGCATGAAAAATAAGCAAGTTGACATGACTTTTCAAATTTAAAAGATGACACTTACATGATGGAAGTTATTTTAGGACATGTAATCAATTATTTTGACTTTTTGAATTCAAGGAAGATCTAATTGATATCGTTTTTAAACATAGAAAATAGACGTTATGTAAAGAAGAAGTGATGAATATAGGACATTGATCAAATCCATCAAAGACCCACTACTTGGGCATCATTAGGATTAGTTTTTATGTTAGTTTAGAATAAAGTTAAGTGTTGTAATCAAGGTTGTCTTATCAGTCTTCTGTAACCTCTCTCTAGATGAATAAAATCATTTTTTTTAATTAATCTTTGTTGAATAATCATTTCTTGATTTTAGTATGTCGATTAACCGCAGTCAAGGAAGTCCTGAAAAAAAGAAATTGAAAAGTATTCAAATAATCGCCTGGAAGTGCTTTGTCAATGGAGAAGTACCCATTTATCGCAGGAGATTTTGGACCAACAATTTTTGGCATACCAGGTAGAACAACAATACTAACTTGGGTCAAGATGATGAAAAGAAAAAAGCAAACCAAGACCGTGGCTAGAACGAAGCAGAGCTAATGGTGTAAAGGAATGGTCTTCCAATGGTCAAAATTATGCATCAATGCAAGATTTTGCACAAAATCTAAAACAAGTATTGCATAATCCTAATTTGAGCATTAGGTAAGATTTGATGAATGGTATGCATGAATTGTTTAAAGGTCATACGGTGATATAAGGACATTTTAATCAAACGTCGAGCCATTTGATTCGAAATCACATTAATGGTGTTTCCTACTAAGAATCAAGGACTACCAATAATTGTACCCGACGTAAGACCTTAGATCTAACATCAAAAATATTTTAATATAATGTTCGAAAGAGAGCTTGTTGAAAATTTTCCTAATCTTTATCAGGCTAGAAACCCTAGGAGTAGAAATGAGTCAAAATAATTCAAGATCCTTCTAAAAGAGGTCGAAAAAGGCACATCATGCCACCTTTGGATCCAATGATGGAAGTGAACCCTAGGGTTGGGAAACAATCATTGGATCCATTTGAAAATCTCAAAAATCAAAATAATATGGTTGTTAATCCAAATCAATTACTAGAAATAATTTGAGATTTATATAAATCTGGCCTTCGAAGGACAAAGATGCTAATTTTTAGAAAGTCATATTTTGAGGAATTTTTGAGAAGGTACAACATCCTCACGTTTAATTTGTTCTTTGGAGTAGGCAATCAATCTATTGTCGAACATATTTAGAATACTGGAAATTTGAAAATTAAACTATTTTTGCAATCTTTAATCAAAACTGCATTTTCGTGGTTCATACATTTGTCACCAAAGTAAATACAAAAACGACGAGATGGAATAAAAATTTCACGCGTTATTATTTAAAAGGGTTACTTATACTGGAAGTTCCCAAGGTGTTGACTTTATCTCATTTTGGTGTTTAATATTTTAATTGCATCATTTTTATCCCTTAAGTATTGAATATGTTTCTATGTGGTCCCTTAAGTAAATTGCTAACGATTTTTTATCATAAACTTGTCACGTGATATCTAAATATAAGCAAAAAATAATTTAGGTGTAGCTCTTGACAAACAATGTGTAATATGGGTTGCCTTTAACCAAATTTTGAATAATTCATGATCAAAACTGTATAATTTGTGTAGCCCTATTACCAAAATTTTGATAGAAATTTGGTTAAGAGTTATCAAAATTATTTTTTTCTCACATGTAGGTATTACACGACAAGTTTATAATAAAAAATCATTAATAATTTGGACATTGTCTATTTAGGGATTAAAATAATGCAACCGAAATATTAAAAATCAAAATGTGACAAATCTCATACTTTGAGGATCTTCCATGCAATTAACCTTTTTAAAAATAACAAGAAGTATTATTGGAAGATTTGTCAAAGTTAAGACAAAGGTCAAACGAGTCTCCAAAGCAATACATTGACCGGTTTAAGAAGGCTATAAACAAATGTTATGTTTACAATGGCCAAGTATGTCAAGTTTTATTTTTACAGAAATCTCAATGATACACCCTAACATTGGAACATATTATTTATTTGCTCATTGCCTCTTCAAATATGGCACACATATCTCAATCATAATTATTAAGTGGTTGTTGGTCCAAATGTGCTGGGCTCGACAAAGATCTCTCAATCCACAGACAATTATCAAATGGTTGTTTGAAAGGGGTATACTGCCTTATTTCAGGACTTCCATTGATGAAAATAATTAAATAATTATGAACAAAGATGAAGTAAAAATAGAGAACTAATAAAAGGAAAATTCTTTTATTAATTTAACGAAGGATTTTGGTTATAAAAGAGACACTAAACAACCTCGATTATAATCTAAAGTCTAAAATCTACTCTAACACTACTTCTAATGATGCCTAGATTTGCAGGTCTTTTGGGAATAGAAAACATATCTTCCTTCTTTCTTTATTCCCCCTTACATAGTCATCTTTTTCGACAGTTGTGCTTCCATTGACGGTTACCTAATAGTAATTCACAATGTGTAACTTCCTTTTGTTTAAACATGGTTGTAACTGGCCATTTTCCCGCCTTGCTTAGGATTTTCCCATGCGACACCTTCTAAGCAATCCTAGGAATGCCAATTGGCAGTTGCATTATTCACTTAACCTTACTTTTACACTCTTTGCTCTCTTCTTCTTTTCACTTCTAGCGATTTCTCTTCTTGCTGCCCGAAATGGTTGTGAACAAGCGGTCCTTGAATTCCCTGAGTAACTCAATTAACCTTTTCTCAAAATATGCCCCAAGTACTGCATTGATGTAGATAGATATTCTGTCAGTTGCATCCCCTAGGTTAATTTCCTATAGATGATATTGGACATTTATCCTTACATCATGAAGTTTTACCGGTGCTGATTGAAGATTTTCTACTCCTATAATTTTACTTATGACTTTTGGGCCACTCTCTAATACACATTTAGCCCAATTCACAGAGGCATCATCTAATGCCTTCATTCTCTCTTCCGAGGTGTATGCAAATAACCTTGTTAATGTGACTTTAATGGCAAACATCATGCCATTACAGAACCTTTTGCAAGCTTTATCTATCAATTTCTTGGGATTCTTTATTTTTAGGCCTTGGTTGCTAGAAACCAGGCCTTGCCAAGTCATGACAGATCTGATGCAAGCTTTCTTCAACTTACTTGTGAAACTAGCTCCTGCAATTGTTATGCTCAATTTTTTTTTTTAAGTTAAACCCATTTAGGGCAAATTCAGTGTTGTGCTCAATTAAAGTTAAGCTTTTGTGATAATACTGGGTATCTAAATTGTGTGTATTTACAGAGAAAGGATTACTGTCTACCCAATGCACCTTCATTCCTTTTCTTCCTTCATCATCTCTGCTTGCCGAGAAGATCAATCCTCTATGTAAGGATAATGACACACCCCCATTGATATGTATTCAATTTCTCCCTAAAAGAGCATTGAAATTGGATGATGAATCTACCACAAAAAATGTTGCTGAAGTATTTCTAGCCAACTTGAATCTGCACAAGCAGGATTCCTCTTGCAGAAGATAATCCTCCAGCAAAGTTACTGACTGTTATGTCAGCATGAACTAGATCTTCACTGTCTTTGTTCAATACCTTCAACATCCTTGAAGGCAAAATGTTGACTACAACACCATTGTTGATCAAAACCTTGTGTATTGGTTGACTCTCGAGATAGGTTTGTATGTATAATGCCCTCAAGTGTTTGACCAATTTTTTCAAAGGAGAATGTAATATGACTCTATCTGCACCCCAAGCTCCTATTTCAACACTTATAAACCTTTTATCAAGCATAATAGGTTCTGTAAAAGATTGAAATTGACTCACAGCTATCTTTAACATCTCTGTACAATTGACTTGGTTGATTTGACATAGTCTTGAATGTCTCAGGAAGAGCCACAATCATATTGCATGATGCTCTCATCCCTAATGAGAGGGTATATATCATCAAAGTCCATCAATTCATCTTCTGATAACATTTCTTTATCCTCGCCTACATTTTCTTTTCCTTTTGAAGATGATGTTCCCAATTTCTTCTCTGGTTCTCCTTTAGATAGATCTAGGATCTTCTTTAATTCAACAATCTTATAGTTCAATATGTCTTGCTTTGTTTGGACCTCCTTAATCTCCTTTTGCTACTTTGTAGTCATTCCAAGAAAATATAAGTTTTTGTTTAAGAATTTTTTGCATCTGCCAAATACAGATGCAAATAATACATTTTGTACTTCAATATTAATTGATGGGTTAAGCTCAAATAGTCCAATTTATGTGTTAAAGTCCAACCCCGGTTGAGGAGCACAACCTCATTGTGAATCCACCAAGTCCAAGACAGTCCAAGGCCGGTTAGACTTCTTGCTTAGCACGTCACCAAGAGGCCACCAAGATCAAGACGGTCCAAGGCCGGTTAGACTTCTTGCTTAGCACGTCACCAAGAGACCACCAAGACCAAGACGGTCCAAGGCCGGTTAGACTTCTTGCTTAGCACGTCACCAAGAGGAGAGCACGAGAAGTTTAACTACACCGCCAAAGGAAACAGCCCAAGGCCGGTTAGACTTCTTGCTTAGCACGTCACCAAGAGGAAAGCACGGGAAGTTTATCCACACCACCGAAGGAAGAAAACGGTCCAATCATTGACCACGTTTCATGAAGAGCTCCCTAACCTCTTCCTTCCGTTGAGGATAAATCGTGATCTCCACCAAAGATAATCTCTAAACTGCGATAAAGAAGCCTTGAGGATATGTCATGATCTCCACAAGAATGATCTCTTAACTACTATAAAATGGCTCTAATCTGGGAGA